GATGGCATTGCTAAGTTGTATGGTATCTATATTTAGTTTTTTGAGAAACCTCTGCAGGGATTTCCACAGTAACTACACCAGTTTACGCTCCCACCAGCAGTGAATGAGGGTTCCTCTTTCCCCACATCTTCTCCAGCATTTGTTATCATTTGTTTTCTTGATCATAGCTGTTCTGACTAGGTTGAGATGGACTCTCAAAGTTTAATTTGCTTTTAATTTGTATACACACACACACACACACACACACACACACACGACATTTGTGCTTCTTTTGAGAACTCTTCATTTCATTAGCTTGATTCTTTGTTCATTGAGCTAGGGTTTCATTATGTAGCCCTAGATGACCTGAATCTTACTATGTAGACCAGGCTTGTCTCAAACTTTTAGTGACCCTCTGCCTCTGTTTTCTGAGTATTGGGATTACAGATGTGAGACACTTCAATCAGTTCCCTTTGCATTTTTAGGTAAATGCAAAGATAGGATGGCAAGAAAATAACCCTTTAAGGACAAATTCTTTGAAGCAGACTTTTTTATTTTGAGATTGGGGTTTTCACTATATTGTGTATGTTAGTCTCAGACTCCTAGGTTTAAATTTTCACCTGCCTTAGTTAGCCTCTTGAGTGGCTACGACTACAGGTGTGTGCCAACATAGCTATAAATATTTTGAATTTTAAGTTAAAATTATTTCTCCTCTATTACTCATACTTTTTAATCATAAGAAGATAATCATTGGTACAATCAAAAAGATTTACTCCTAAGTTTTCTTGCAAGGCTTTTATAATTGTCTGGTTATAGCTCTCATATTTAAGTCTTTGATCTATTTTTTGTTAATGGCAAGAATAGCTGCTTTGATTTACATTCTGTTGTGCTAAAAGTCTCATTCCCTAAGGCTGTTATTTCATTTTGAGTCTCTGAAGATGAAGTTCAGTGTTCATCTTGCTACCAGTTGATCAAGAGCATTGAGAAAAGCGGGATTTCACCCACGGAGCCTGAGAAGCCTAAGTCTCCCACAGCCACAGGTTTGGTTGGGAGGGGCTGCACATAGATTGTTTTAAAGACTCCCACACCAGCCAAAGCCCCAGGCCTTTCAAAGAGATCCAGCTTCTGCAGGGGAGGTGTCTGGCCACAGCCCTCATTGCCGGCAGGTACACAGCTGAATGACAATCAGTGTTTTCTCATTCTACTTTCAGGGTCCTATTTTCTCATAAAGGCCACCTACAATGAAACAAGAATTGCCAATCCCAGCACTCTAAAGGATTACTGCAAGTTGAAGGACAGCCTGGTCTGTAGGCTGATACTTCTTAGGGTTACACAGTTAGACCCCATCTCAAAAATAAAGATAAATAACAAAACGTTTGATTCTGGTATAATGATAAATTTATAGATCAATTAAATTGAATTAGGGATTCAGTAGTAGGGTCTGGAGAGATGTCTAAGTGGTTAAGGGTGCTTTCTGCTCTTGCAGAAGACTTGGGTTTGATTCCCAGCTCCCACATCAGGCAATTTACAACTTCTTTTAACTCTGGTTCTAGGTGACCAAATGTCCTCTGTCTTCTGCCTGCACAGTGCACATATATTCATGCAGGAACACGCATACACAACAAATGAATAAATAAGCAAACAAACAAATAAATCTTTGAAAAGAATTTAGAAGTAGGCAAGTCTCTCTATGCCTTTGGGGGAAGCTGAATCCTTGCAAACTTAGGAGTTTGCTGCCAGTCTGAGATCCTGTTTCAAAACCAGCAAGCAAGCAAGCAAGCAAGCAAACATCAGCTAGGGGATGGTTAGCATTTGTCTTCAGTAAAGGGCTGGCTGACCACAGGAGAAATTTATATGTCTTTTAGAAAAACAGAACTAGACTTGTCGCTAATGTGGGTAACTCCCTGAGATGGGGGTGAGGGAGACATGGAAGGAAATTGAAAAGGAACTGAGATGATTTCACCTGCTCAAAAGGTCCAAAAGTAAATTAATTGTGCTTTTCCAAGCTACAGATCTGCTGTTCAGAAGCTATTTGCACACTGGCCCTGAGAACCAAACAAGAACACATAAAATAGGCTTCAGTCATGGAAGAAGAGATTTAAATTAGCTCCAAACAAGGGCTGGGGGGTGGATGAGATGTTAATTAAGAAGATTTCTTAGTGATGACTTTGAAAGTGTTCAAGCATGGGATTCCTTTACATTGACCTTCATTCTTCTTCTTGCAGGCTAGGGACTAGCCAGCCTTAGGCTGCTGGTTATGAACACATGGGTTGTGCAAAACACTGCCTCTGGAGCTAAAGGAATCACTCCCTCTATTTGCCAGTGGTGGAGATGCACACAGGGAAGCAGGAGACTTTTACTACATGGTACATTCAAGTGGAGGCTCCTCTACAGAAGACACTTTAAGTCGTGAGGCTGGAAGGGTTCCTCCTTTGCTTTGTAAGTCTCACTGCAGTCTTTGAAATGCTATGTAAAAAGAAACACTATATACTGGGCCAGATAAGAAAGCCACAAGATGCCCCTTTCCTAATCACTGGCTCTATGTGACCTTCCAAGGGTGGTCAAGGGCCTTTGTAGATGTGATTATACACAGGGTCTCCAGTTGGGAGATAATTTTGGAATTTTCCTGTAGGGCTCCTTTCATCCCATGAATCTTTGAAAGAAACTTACAGTCAGAGAAAGACTTTTTTCTCCCTGTTTTTTGAGACAGGGTTTCTCTGTGTAGCAGCCCTGGCTGTCCTGAAACTCACTCTGTAGACCAGGCTGGCCTCAAACTCAGAAATTCACTTGCTTCTGCCTCCTGAGCGCTGGGATTAAAGGCGTATGCCATCACCATCTGATACTTGAAGTATCAAGAAAGATACTTGAAGAAATCACACTTGGTTTTGAAGAAGGAAGGTAGCCATTCTCTCTCTCTCTCTCTCTCTCTCTCTCTCTCTCTCTCTCCTTAAAATTGCTCGTTTTTAAGATTTACTTCTTTTATGTATTGAGTGTTTTGGCTTCTGTATGTATGCGTACCATGTATGTGCAAGTGCTGTCAGAGACCCTTGTAACTGGAGTTGTACATGTTGAGAGCCACCTGGTGGGTCATGGGACTCAGACACAAGGTCCTCTGGAAAAGCAGTTAGTGCTCTTAACTGCAGAATCATCTCCTCAGACTGTTTAAAAACAAAATTAACTTGGAGCTAGAAAGATGGCTCACTAGCTAAGAGCACTGGCTGTACCTACAGACAGCTCTGATTTGATTTCTAGCACTCATGGTAGCCCATAGCTATCAGTAACTCCAGTCCCAGGGGCTCTGACACCATCTTGGGGCCTTTATGGGCACCAGACATTCAAGTGGTGAGCAGACATAATGCAAGTAAACCATCCATACACATAAAATAAATGATAAAAGTTTAATTAACTCTGTTATTATCATTGTGTGTGTGTGTGTATGTGTGTGTGTGCGCGCACGCGCGTGTGTGATACATATACCATGCTGTACTTATAGAGATCAGAGGACAACTTTCAGGTGTCAATTCTCTCTTTCCACTATGAGTTTTGGGACCTGAACTCGGGACATCAATCTTGATGTCTAGGACCTTTATCAGCCAAGCCATATCACAGGCCCTTCCCTTCCTTTCCCTTCCCTTGCCTTCCCTTGCCTTGCCCCCCTCCCCTTCCCCTCCCTCCCTCCCTCCCTCTCTCCCTCCCTCCCTCCCTCCCTCCCTCCCTTCCTTCTTTCCTTCTTTTCTATGTTTCTTTCATTTTGAGGCAGAAAGTCTCATATATCCCAGAGTGGTCTCAAATTTGCTATGTAACTGAAAATGGCCTTGAAGTTTTGGTCCTTCTGCCTGCACCTTTTAAGTGCTGCATTACAGCCTGTGTTCTCATATCTGGTTTCTGTGCGTCTGGGGATGGCCTATAGCGCTAGTTAAGCAATTTCCCAATGGAGCTTCACCCCAGACCCAGAAAAAAGTTTTCTGAAGATGAACTTCATTTTCTGAACAACTCACTCATTAATTCAGTAGTGTCAAGTGTATCCAGAGCCATGCAAACATCGTGATAGTGAATTTTCATTGTCTTGGGTTTGCTTGATCTTTTTGTGATTTTATTTTTCAGTGGTAAAGACTGAGCTATGTCCCCAATCCCATGACAGTTAGCCTTAGAACATTTTCATACACTGAATTATAAACCATACCAATTAGCAGTCATCTCCTCCCATAACTGCTAGTCCAGCCTCTCACCTGGTCCTAAGCAACCACTAATCTTCTCTCAGTCTCTGTAGAGTTCTCTGTTCTGGACTTGCAGATAAATGGAATCCGACAATGAGCAGTCTTTTGCATTTGGAGTAGAAAGTTGAAAATGGATTGTCCATGTTTTTGCATGGAGCACTATGCCATTCCATATCATGTCTAATATACTTCATTGTACATGTGCAGCACAGTTTGCTTATCATCCACTCATCAATATGGACATTGGAGTTGTTTATCCCTTCATACTGTCTGACAAGTGAGAGCCAAATCAACATAGTAGAGAACAAACAAAATTGATTTATTTGGAGCTTCCTAGGATTTCCATGTGTTCTGAAATTTTCTCAACTACAGTCTGTTTTTATAGCTTTCAACTTTAAGAGAGTTTGTAATTATGTGTGTTATGGCTCACATGCTTGAACACTTGGTCTTCTACTGGTGGTGCTGTTGTTGGAGACTGTGCAAACTCTTGGCTATGGGACCTAGCTGGTGGATATGAACAGGGTGGGTCTTGAGAGCTATAAGTAGGTCCTGCATCCTGTCTAGTTATTTGCTTCCAGCCTGATACCATAATGTGGTCATGTGCCATAAACTGAGCCACCATGTATCCTTACTATAGTGGATTCTAACACTTTGAGTCTTGAGCCAGGGTACACCTATCTTCCCATAAGTTGCTTGTATGAGGTATTTTAGTATAGCAGTGAATAGCAAAATGTCATTTTGTAGTCAGAAATCATGATTAATATTGACAAAAGTTATCATGTTCTAAAATGTTTACAATTTCAGTTTCTGGGTACTCTGGAGGACAAGGTGTTCATTACATGGAAATTCACTGGATGTTAACAATGTTTAAAAGGTGAGTTCAAATTTGTGATAGGCATGTCTGCAGCCCTGTTCAAATGTTGTCTGATGATCCAATACTCTTACTCTAGAGATGACTATTTCACATCTTAATGTCCAAGAAAGCAGAGGGCAAGAAATAGTAGACTCTGAATGGAAAGAACTGTCAGCTTTACCTCAAAGCAGCAAGATATTGTCAAGACATTTCATTTTGTGATGTTGTGAGATTGAATCACATCTCCAAAAAAGACACACTGAGATCTAAGCCTATGGTACCTGGGAATATGCTCCCCTTGAAAAATGGGATCTTTGAAGGTGGAATCAGCTTAAGATAAGGTGATACCAGAGTTGGGGGCATAAAAACAATTATTGCTGTCCTTGTAAGAATGATATAGGGGCAAAGAACCCTCAAGGAGAAGGGTATATGTACAACAGTGGATAATTGAGTAATTCATCGGTGAGTCAAGGGACACCAAGAATTGCTGCCAGTTACGCTAACCTAGTAGAGAACTTTGGGACAGATACTTCCCTAGAGAATTCATGGGAAGAATGGCTCCTGACGAATGTTTGGTGAGTGAATAAGAAAATTTGGCTCATATCTTAAGCCAAGAAGAGTTGAAAGAGAGCAATGAAGGGAAGCCCTCACAGCCATGATGACCGCTGAACAAGCCAAGAGGTACTTGGGGAAGAGCCAGTATGGCCCTGCCAAGGTCAGTCAACAAAAAAGCCTGGGAAAGTGTACATGTTGCCAGGCCGTGAGGCAAGATTTCTAAGGTCCACAGGTCCTTGATCCTTTCATTCTTCCTTTTCAATCTAGTAATGACCCTCTGGAGGCTACAGAATAGTCCAGATCAGAGGGAAACCAGAACTAAGGGGGTCCTTTGTAATCTTTTCATTTCATATAATTCTGCTTTCTCTGATATTTCACTAAATTTCAACCAAGGCTCTGAGGATTTTCTAAACAGTACAAATTACCTTATGTGGAAGAAACAAAAGAAAAGAGAAACATGAGAATCAAATCAGTGGATCACGAGTGCTCATTATTTTTGGGAGTAGATCGTGAAGAGATGACAGGTGTGTGTGTGTGTGTGTGTGTGTGTGTGTGTGTGTGTGAGCACAAGTGCATGCGTGTGTGTGGGTGCATGTGAGTGAGTGAGAGAGAGAGGCTGGGAGAGATACAGTATGTCTTAGCACAGACAGAGTCTTACAATGTGTCTGAACTAGCCTTGAAATCATGAGCCTTCTATATCAACCTGTCAAGGAGTGGGATCACCACTCCTTGCATCACCACACCCCGCTCAAAGCTGGGATATTAAGACAGTGAAAGAATATACCTTTAGCCTTGTATGGTATTGAACACATGTAATACCAGAGAGCTCAGGGGGCTCGTAAAGAAACTCAGCTATATGGTGAGACTATCTCAAACAATAAATGAATCCTCCTTTGACCACACTCTGCTCTTCCATGAAGAACAGATGGAATGTCAGATGTCTGAGTATAGATGAGTAACACAAATTCTGTCCATAAATCTAGGCAAAACAGGCAGAATTCTGTGTCCTGAGCAAATCGGCAAGACAGGTTGGAAGATTGTGGCCCTCTTATGTCTCCTGTTAGTCCATGGAACAACCTACTAAGTAAAGAATATTTAGGAAATTGTCTTTCACAGAACTCATATCAATACACACTCTTTGGCAAGAAGTCATTGGACACCAATGCTCAAGTCCCCATCTCTGACTGCAGAAACTTTTTCAAGCATCTCGCACTAGGAAAGTTGTAATTGTGTCTTAAGGTTCTCTACCAAACTTCATATAGTTCTCTAAAACTAGTGCCTTAAAACATGTATCAGGCGAGCATAAGAATCTAGGCTTAATCTCCAGAACTCATATACAGATGCTGGGCATGGTGGAACTCATCTGGAATGCCAGCACTAACAAGGGGGGAGAAAGGAGGGTCCCTGGTTCTTGCTGCCCAGTCCGTCTAGCCTAGTTGGGGAGTTCAAGGCCAGTGAGAGACCTTGTCTCAAAAAGTAAGGCTAGCAACCCCTGGGTTCAATACCCAAGGCTGAACTCTATCACACACACACACACACACACACACACACACACACACACACACACACACGGATGAGAGTATTTATTCTTTTATGTTGCCAGAAGTCCCAAATCCAAAACTTGTGTCACTGAGGCAAAAGCATGTTATGCATGTTTGTAGAGGGCAGAGGTGAACATTAGGTGTCTTTTCACAATTGCTCTCATTTTTTTTTGGTTTCAGATAAGGTTTTTCTACACAGCTCTGACTGCCCTGGAATTTACGATGTGGATAAGGCTGGCCAGGAACTCAAAGAGATCTGTCTGCCTCAGACTCCCAGTGCTGGTATTAAAGGTGTGTGCCACCATACCCATGATGTCGGATGACTTCTTTAAGATATGGCTTCCTGGTTCGTGCTTGGCAGCATGAACTCTGGATCTTTTGGGAGGTCCTGCACTTAGATGGAGTTTGTGAGCAGCATGTTACAAGTGCTTAATGGTGACATAGAGCTGCTGTGTCTCTGGAGCTGGGACAGTGAACATGGCTCGAAGATCTGGCAATAAATGTACCTCTGCCAGGTGGAGAGGTGAAGCCAGCATCCAGGGCTGCCACAACCACACTGCTTACCATTTTAAAACGCTCCTTGTCAGAAAAGGATTTCAGATACAAAATAGGACAGATTCAGACATAAAGACCTCTAAATGAGACACAATGTATTAAAAAATGTACGTAAGCTTGAGAGAGAGAGAAAAAAAGAGTATAGACAGTTATAAAAAGAAGTAAAGTCTTTAAAGAGACAATAAAAGTCATACAAAAAAAGTACAGACAGTCATAGATTAAAGGAGTAAAGAAAAATAAGCCACGAAAAGATGCAGAGAGTCTGGATTATGCATATTATTGTGCTTTCTTTGAAATTTTTGACTGCAGAGAGACATTTGTTTTTGAGGGCTGCTAAGTTAAACCAGCATAAAGGTATCTTGACTTCAAAATTTGGGTCTAAGGATATGTTGCTTTGGAAAAAAGGTTCTGTTTTTGTTTCCACAGAAGATGAGAACCTGTGGATTCTTTCCAGACTAATGTGATTTGAGGGAACAAGACCCTTCCCAAAAGGTCCCTGTGAACCCTAAAGAAACTACTCCCAACAAACGGCAGAAAGCAGTTTGGAGAAAACTACACCCAAATTCCCAAAATGATTGTTTATAAATGTTTGTTTTCATTTAAAAGGGATTAGGTATAAATTGTTAATGATCACAGTCAACCTCTTTTTTTAAAAAAATAAGGGGATATGATGTAGAGATGAATACTTTGCATTGGTGTGGATCTTGGTCTATTGGTACAAATTTAAGGTTGATTTTGTTATATGTATTTCTGTTCTTGTTTAGGTATTGTGTTTAGACAGCTCATTAAAATGTAATGTATAATTAAAAATTGCAAAATAATAGGTAGTCAATAATAGTAAATTTAGATGCTAGCTAGTTTTCTAGATATATAAAGATATATTTCAGTTAGATAATTTTCAACACTTCAGAGACCTATGAAATATGGCATTTAAAATGTTTTAAGAACTTAGACTTTTTTCAACAATGAGACATTTCTGCTTCTGGCAGCATCAATTGCTTCAGAGATGATGATCATTGAAGAAATTTGTTATGGAATTTGTCTTCAGCATGACAAGGCTAGTCATTTGGGCAAGAAACTGCTCTTTCCTGGGGACTGCTTGATGTTATGCTGTATGAACTGAACATGCAGGACCCACAGAAAAGTGACTGCTGAACATCCTAAAGATGGATGGTCCTTCAGGGTTCCTACTTCACAGAAGAAACTGCCAGGCAATCTGAAGGATACAGAAGAAAGTGACTGATAAACTGCCAAGATAGGCAAAACAGCCTTTCAAATTTCCAGCTTCATGGAAAAGTCTGCCTGATACTATGGGCCTGTAGGCTAAGGATGAATGCCGCAGGGTTACAAAAAAGCTTTGGGTGACTGTTCAGGCAGCAAGATGTCTCTGTCTGTTCTAAAGTTTTAGAAGTTGTTTACAATGTACTTCCTATTTACTTCGGTAATATTATATCCTTCTGGAGTCTTTGATGGAGTTGAAGAATAGATAGATAGTTATAGTTTCATTAGTTATGATAAAAGATAAATTCAGCATAAAAGTTTAGACTTACAAAAATAAAGTAGATAAAAATATATTTTCTTTAATTTTGCCAGGTATAAATAGACTAAATATTGTAATTGCAATTCTTGCTTCAACCTGTTTTGTTATATGTAATTTTACTATGTTAAAGTTTAAACCTTCCTTTTTATTTAGACAGAAAAGGGGAGATTATGTGGCATGTCCTTCTGTATATGTGTTGCTTTTTTGGCTAATAAATAAATCTGTTTTGACTTATGGCGGGGCAGAATATAGCGAGGCTGAAAGAGATATATATAGAGAGAGAATAGGCAGAGTCAGGGAGAAGTGATGTAGCTGTCCAAGGAGAAGGACATGCTGGAACCGTAGGCCACAGCCTTGGGGCGATACACAGATTAATAGAAATGTGTTAATTTAAGATGTAAGGGTTAGTAAAAAAAAGACACCTGAGTTAACAGGTCAAGCAATGTTGTAATTAATATAGTTTCTGTGTGATTATTGGGGTCTGGGCAGTCAGGAAACAAGTAAGCAGTTTCCTTCTAAACACCCAGCCTTGAATCTTGATCGTTTGATGCAGAATCCTCCCTGAACCAAGAGATCTGCAATTTGGCAAGGCTGGCTGTCTAATGATGTTCAAGAATCTGTCTACCTGGCTCCCTCCCCTGAGTGCTGAGGTTATAGGTACACACTACTATCATGCTTGGTGTTTTACACAGGTTCTAGGGATCTAAATTCATATTGTCATGCTTGTGCAGCAAGTACTTTAGTGACTGAGCCATCTCCCAAGCACCACAATAAGTTTATTTTTTTAAATTTTTTTGTGTGTATGAGTGTTTTTTTCCTGAATGTATGAATATGCACTACAAGCATCCTTGAAAGCCATAAGAGGGCATCTGATTCCCTGGAACCAGATAGTCGTAAACCAGAATGTGGTTCCTGGGAATTGAACCAGGGTCCTTTGGAAGAGCAGCTAGTGTTCTTAACCACTGAGCTATCTCTCTAGCACCCATGCATCTTTAGTGTTCTAAATCTATGACCTCATAGCCTTGTAAGTCCTCTCATGTCTCGCTGTCACCTAGAACAGAATCAAGTTCTCTAGTTTCACTTGTGGTGAAGACATTTGATGATGATCAGGAGTTGGCACCATCTCCACCTTCTTTTCCAACTTAGAGTTAGGACCCTCATTTGCCTGGGCCATTTTTTTTGTCTCTAAAACCAGCCCTGCAAATACTACTTTTGTGTTTTTGTTGATTTCATCTGCTCAATCTGGAATGTCTGAAAGCTCTTCTCAAATTCTCTGAACACACTCAGCCTCCAAGGTTCAACTTACTGGAAAGCAGTGAGGAGGAAGTTAATGCCTTTTAGAAATGTAGCCTGCCTATGTATCTCTGCAACAACTATTGCAAGTTACTACGGCACCTTGAATGGTAGGAAAGGTCCATCCCCCAGCTATTAAAATCAAAACACTAAGATTGTAAGTGAGTTGCTCAGGGTTATCAAGGTCATTACAGTAACAGATAATGACATATATGTCTAGCGATATGATATCTATCCACCCCCAAATATCCATGTCCTAGTTCAAGGAACCTGTGAATATTGTCTAACATAGGAATATGATGGTCAGATGTGATTATGTTAAGGGTAGTGAGATGGAAGGTTATCCTGGATTAGCTAGGTCAAACCCCAATGTCCTTATGAAAAGGAAGCAAAGAGGGATTAGATAATAAAAAAAAAAGAAAGAGACGGTGGTGGAATAGTGCTTGAAATAACATAAGGGTGATCTGTAAGGCAAGGCATTCATGAGTTTCCTGTGGCTGAAGAAGGCAAGGAAACAGTTTCTCTTCTAAACTATCCAGACACCATAGTTTAAACCTCTTTGTGAGCCACCAAGTTGTTCCTGAGAATCAAGCCTGGGTCCTCTGAAAGAGCAGCCAGTGTTCTTAACCACTGAGAAACAGAATAAATGTGTGCATTTTAAGCCTTTGGGTTTTGGGCAATTTTTTGTAAGTCATACAAAACTAATACCAAAGCAGGCTGTGAACTCAAGATTCCCCAGGTTTCAGAACACATGTGCACTTCTAAGGAACTTGCAACGGACCATTTCATCTAGAATAATTCTCCCTCAAAATGCAACTATTTTGCTCTTTTGTATATTTTAGTATCTGCCAATCACTTTGAAGGCCTGTGTGAGCCATGCCATTAGAATCCAGTTTAAGATGGAGACTGGGTTGTGTGCATATCTGTGTTACCGGCCTGCAGAGGGGAGCCAGAGGCATGTGTGTTTGGATAACCACCTCTAGCTGGCAGGTTCTAGGAGCTTGATTGGTTCTCATTCCCAGAAGCCAATGCTAATGAAAAGGTGCAATCACAAATGTAATGCATTAGAAAGCATTTTTTTAAAAAAAAATTTGAGATAAACCTCACATAAGAAAGATGTAGCCTTTAATTCTAAGACACACTACAGCATAGGTGACTCGATGCTCAGTTAAGTTTGCTAGGCAGAAAAGGACATACTGAATAAACTAGCTTTTAGGGGGAGCTTAGAGAAGTTCAACCCACAAAGACATATAGTAAAGAAGAAATTATCCTGGACTTAGAGGGTATCACGGAGTCTGTGTTCAGTGGAGAGAGTTTGAATGTGAGTTGTATGAACATGTATGATGAATTTAAATTTTTGAAAGATTTAATTTAAGTGTGAATGTTTCTTGCTTGCTACCCATGGAGGTCAGGAGACAGCATTTGCATCCCCTGGAACTTGAGTTATGTATGGTTGTGTACCACCATATGGATGCTGGAATTTGAGTCTGGGTCCTCTGCAAGAACAACAAATGTCCTTTTTTTTATACATCAACTTTATTTTTTTTTAAAAGAAAAAACATTCTTTTCTCATTTTACCTACCAATCCCAGTTCCCTCTCCCTCCCCTACTCTCACTCCTTCCACCTTCTACCCATTCCACCCCCATCCACTCCTCAGAGAGGGCAAGGTTTCCCAAGGGAAGTCAACAAAGTCTGACACATCACATTGAGGCAGGAGCAAGGTCCTCCCCACCATATCTAGGCCGAGAAAAGTACCTTTCCAAAGAGAATGGGCTCCAAAAAGCCAGTTCAAGCACTAGGAATAAATTCTGGTTCCACTGCCAGGGACCCCACAGACAGCCTGAGCCACACAGCTGTCACCCACATTCAGACGACCTAGTCTGGGACAATGCAGGTTTCCCTGCCGTCAGTTCAGAGTCAGTGAGCTTCCACTAGCTCAAGTCAGCTGTTTTTGTGGGTAGCCACTAAATTAACCAGTCCCCCTTCTCCATGCGAAAACTCCACCCCTAAGAAGCCCTATATAGGCCTCTCCACCCCTTCAGTTACGAGCTGAGGTAGCCACTCTCCTGGACTCCTCCTTCCCAAATAAATCTCTTTCTCAAAAGAGTCTTGGGTGACGACCTTCATTGTGGAATTTAGCATAGGGCACTGCTCTCAGAAGAATTAGACTTGGCTCCTGTGGAACTCCAGTTGTGTCTCTGAGGGAATTTTCGGGGAGATTTGACTGAGGAGAGGAAAGTAGCCCTGAATGTGCTCAGCAGCATCCCATGGGCTGGGGTCCTGGGCTTTATGAAAAAGAGAAAGTGA